CAATTTGGAGTTAAAAAAATTGGTGTACCTTTATCTAATGAATTACGCCAAAACTCAACCCGACACAGCAATTATGGCAGTGAATACATTTGTAAAGGTGGGTCTTTACATTCCTGCTCAACTTTCTTTAGGACTGTGATGATCCCAATCCCCTGATACGCGCTTTAGCTGTCCGTACTATGGGGTGTATTCGTGTTGAAAAGATAACTGCCTATCACTGCGATCCACTCCGCAAATGCCTAAAAGACGAGGACCCTTATGTGCGCAAAACGGCCGCGATTTGTGTCGCAAAACTCTACGACATTGATCCAACCCTAGTAGAAGATAGTGGATTTCTGGAACTTCTGAAAGATCTTCTCAGTGACAGCAATCCTATGGTTGTCACAAATGCAGTTGCGGCCATCTCGGAAATCTTAGAAACAACTCAGTCCGAGGCTGCTATGAACATTCTAAAGATTGACCAACACATTGTCAACAAGCTACTAACGGCCTTAAACGAATGCAACGAGTAAGTTTTTTCATATTTATAGTTCAGTTTGACAAAGAGCTTCTTTCTGTATGGTTGCATTGTACCGGGTAGCAGACTTTTGTTATAGTTTTCACTATATGGGACTTCATTCGTCTCAATGACCTTAGTGCATATTGTGGGCGACAAAACCAAGCCATTGATTGCGCCTTAAAAATGAGCTTTTGTTGTCTCCATGCTTTAAGGACTTATAAACTAGGCGGAGTATTCTGCATTTAACGTCTGTGTTGGTCGAGATAAGCATGCTATATTACTGGCTCATCTCCACGTTCCAAGGTGACCTTATCACAGCCTTAACTGAAGCACACGTAAGGTCTTTAACAGTTTTAATACAGAGGTCTCCACTTATGCTTTAGGAACAAGTGCCAAATGTTTGTTGCCCTTTAGATGTATAACGCTGGTATTGCCGGACAGGCTAATCATTTCACCAAAGCCCTTTATAGTAACGCCTTTTTGGCCTACCAGCTCATCTTAGGTACTCTAGAAACAGTGTTTCGTACTTTCTCCTTTTGCCCAAAGACACTTTGGGCCCAACTGAATTATCGCTAAATGGTTGTTGAAGTTAGTCAGACGAAGGCTCGTAACTGCGACAGTTATCGAGAGTAGTTACGTTGTACTTCTTGGCCGTTCTTACATTCCTATCAACACATAATCTTGACTGTAGCTTGATGAAAACCGTCCTGGCTGTCAGTGTTGTCATACTACATCGTGCGGCAGTTCACTATAAGGAAAGTTAAGCATTCCAACAAATTTAGTGAGTTGGATTCCGAGTGCTTGGTCATCATTTAAGTTCTAAGCTAATAAATGCTTTGTTGTCGGGAACAGATTTTTTTGATAGTCATACAATTAAGCTCAGCAATATAAAAAAGGCTCTTTATCATGATTACCATGCTTTCCCAGTGCGCAGTTTTCTGCCTCGTTCACCACATACGTCGCATTTCAGTCCATTGGCAACAAGGTTTTTTACTAGTCACTCGTAATTATTAACTGCTCACTGAAGGTCTTGCTGCATGCAATCAGCGTCTAGTGTTCAATACCTCAGCACAATAGCTGTGACACCGACCAC